TACTACTACTACTACTACTACTACTACTACTACTACTACTACTACTACTACTACTACTACTACTACTACTACTACTACTACTACTACTACTACTATGCTGTGAAGCTTACTACAAATGTTTTACCACTAATACTAGTACTACTAAAAGTAGCAGTCCATCTCCATGGCTGATTCATTCTTTGGTGGATTTCTTCAACCATTGAGAGTTGACTACTGTGGTTGTTCATTCTGGCATCTGCCACCGAACACCTTGTAAGTATGGTACGTACATACTAATCGTACTACCGTATTTGTTTGGTTTTGTGAAGCCAACTTGACACTTGACACCGGGTGGGGTGACGCCAGTTCCAAACTAAGTATGTATGAGTAGTAAGTGTTGATAGCCAATTTTCAAACGGTTTCCAGTAATAAGTAATACATTACTGTAAACCAAAAAATATTGACGTCATCATGTTGTTTTTCGTTTTTGCGAACATGATTCACTCTTTCGAATGATTGGCGGAAGATCTGGTTCCATCCCCGTGCGGTGGGTGCATCTATGTGACAGAACGTACGGATAGAAGTATCCGGAATTTCTTGAAGTACCGTACGTACAGTACTCGAGCATACTCTTTCTCCTTGGAATTATTTTTGGCAGCGTGCCCAAAAAAATTGTCACACATACCCCTAATTACGCAACGCCATCACCTCMGCTACAAACACACCGTACCGAAAGCTACCGAGGCATCCAGGTCGCCGAATCGAAAACCATTCTTTTCTTCGGCGCGACCTCCCGGGTTTCGTCGCGATGCGGACGTTCTTTGGAAGAGCGAAAGCACCCAACGCAAGAAAGAGCCCTGGCTCTTAATGTATCCGTCTTGCGTTTACTCATCGCCATCGCCATCGCCATCATCATCAACGCAGGCCATTGGTGCTGAAAAGGTACTTGTCACTAGCAGAGCAGAACAAAACGCATACACCAAAGAGTTTTTGTGTTGCCGTCCGGGTTTTCGCCACCGTTGAAAGAGCGCGAGAAAAGCAGAAACAGAAGCCGAACCGAAACAGAAAGCATGGCGCCGTGCGAACGGTACTCCTACGAAGAATGCGCAGCCATCCACGGCTTGGAGATTGGTCCCGGCGCCACGGCGGACCAGCTTTCCAACGCAAAACTGCTGTGCGGAGAGAAAGTCCCGCTCGTCTCCGAAATCGTCAACGTTGCGGCCGCTGCGGCCACCATCTACCTAATAAGTAAGCAGCAGCGGATGCAATGCGGATGCGAATGGGTGGTTGGGCGTTGCAGTGTTGTGGTGCGGCACGGAACCAAAACGTGGTTCGATGCAGCACATGTCTATATGCATATGTATATACACATATGTATATACACATCATACATTATACATTTGTATATTAYATCTTTGTACATTCTACGGCAACGGACTCAAACAAATTCCACGTTCTGTCTGCTGTCTCTATTCTCTCTTCTCTTTSTGTACGGTACGGCGCAGCCAACGTCTACATCCAGATCGCGGAATCCTCGGTGCTCCTGAAATCGAGCCGGATATGGGGGACCGGCAAACCCCACGAAGCCGAGGGGAAAAAGGCGATCGCGCGGGCCACGATGATCCACTGCTCCCTCGGGACCCTCTTGTACGTGGGAACCATCGTGCTCRTCCGCATCCTGACCCACCCGCTGGACAATCGGACCAACTCGGTGGTCATCGGCCTCTCCAAGATATTCGCGTCCGTGGTCTTTTTCATGATGTCGGTCAGCGTTCCGCAGTGGTTCGGGGTCTACCACAGCAACAAGATCGCGATGGTGTCCTTCACCTCCTCGCGCGAGATCCGCTTCACCCTGGGATGGAAAATCTGGAAGCAGATGGTCTCCATGTACTTTTTCATTGCGTATTTTTCGTGCGCCGACGTGGGCTTCTCTGTGCTGTACGGTGTGTTGAGTAAGTCGCACCCTGGCGCGGTCTCTTTGGTGTCGGAGATGGCCCCTGTGGGAAGTGGTGCCGTTGGTGGGCAATCCGTTCTGTTTTGTTTTGTTCTGTTCTGACCATGTCYGCCTCTCTGTTGTTTGAAATTCTTACGAATCGCATTCGCTTCGACTCCAATCGCTTCCATTTGACTTGACTCGATTCGGTGCAGTTGGCGGCCTAACCGGGAACATTTGTGTTTTCATCGCCATGCAAGCCAGATCGAAGAGATTTGCAGCGTGGAAACGTCCGTTGGCCATTCTCGTCATTGTGGTATTCGCCGCCGGGAGTTGGTATACGCTTGCGGATGGCATCTTTTACATTGCCAACGTTTGGATGCCGGACAAGGAAGACGTAGTGGTGGAAGTGGCCCTGAGTGCTTCCCTGGTGTGGGTAGTACTCATGGTTACCTTCCATGTTGCGATGTATGGGTGGACCAAGAGCAACAAGAAAAACGCGATTTCGTCGCGGTTTACCTCTCAAGTCTTTAGCCGAGGCAATGTCGGCGACCTCATCGATASCATACGGAGCAAGAACTCGAACGGGAGTGAMGGTGACGACGACGGTGACGACGAAGAAGCGAACGATGGTGCCGTGAGGGAGCAACCCGTCGCCAAGGACGGGGTCCAAGCAAACGATAAAGACGACCGACGTGTTGGGTTTGCCGAAGACACAAAGCCTCCCGGGCCCGACCGGAACGATYCCTCCGGATACGTTGCACCCCGAGACGCGCCATCGTGTTGGAAGATGTTCATGACCAAGGTYGTCGAAGCCTTCCCTTTTTTTTGTGGTTGCTGCCTCAAGAAAAAATACCAAGCTATTTCTACACGTCGTTTAGACTAYAAAAAAGATGCCGGCGATAGGACAAGGTTTGCCAGGTTCCTCATTCACATCAAGCGTTTCTTTTGGTATCTCCTGTCCTTTGCCTTTCTCTTTTTTACGATCGTAAACATTGGGGCATCCTACGAACAATGCGCCGCCCGCAATGCCCTGAATTCCACCTTTGAACTTTTGTACCCACCCGACTACCGAAACTCTACCCTGTGTGCTTGGGACAAGCCCGGWCCCAAMGCTACCATCAAAACATTCGATTCCTTGCAGGATGTGAGAGATGAAAATTACGATGTGATTCATTGCGGTGCTTGTGGAGCCTGTTCCAACTGGAACGATATCACTCTGCAATACACATCGAGAAAGTATTTGGCTGGCGTTTCAAAAGTATGGTAAGGGATGGTCGKAGGTKGCGGTATTCTGTGCTGCAACGAAAAAAGCGACCGTTGCAACTTCTCCATCAAACACTCATCATTTGCTCGTTCATCGGCTTTTTTTTCTCGCTCGAAATTCAGTGCCAAAAAGTCGATTTTCACTAGATTCAACCCAAACGATCCAGACGACGTTGTCGTTCAATGCAACCACCAGAGAATCGGATTCACCATGAACTGCTCACAGGCCTGGGCTTGGGACGAAGTTCACACAAAGAATCGAGCTGTTTTTACCTTTTTACAGGCAAACATCGCGAACGCATTTGCTGACATGGACGTCACCTACCAAGACATTACCATGGCCACCATCGATGAGGCTCTGTCGGGACCTAGATTTGTACCCTGGGTCGGAGCCACCCGCCGCCGGATGAATATCAAAAGTGACATCGATCGCCCAACCAATCAGCGTAAGTACTCTACACCGCGGAGACGTGTGTTTGTCGGTGTTGCGCTGCGTTTTTGTTCGAGATCCGTTCACTGCTCCACAAGCGCACCTCCGAAAAAACTAAATGCACTGGTGACGTTTCCGTTGTTTTTGCAAACGTGTTTGCTCTGTGCTAGAATGCACAACCGTCACCCAGAACTGGACGGAAGTATTTACCAAGCCTTTCAGACCACCGGTTGGTGGAACATATACGATTCAACCTCCAGGAAAACCCGCCGAGACGGTTGTCATTGTGGGACAGAACGATTCACCGTAGAGCTTCCAATGCGTGCTGCTTCKAATCGTGTATTTGATCTAAAAACAAAATAGAGTTGTTGCATTGCATGCCTGGACCGTATAAAACCCCAATTTCTGTCGTCGTTATCCGTTTGCCAATCGTCTCAACTTTCCTAGAAGTAGCTACGTGTGTCGCACCTTTTGCGTCGGACCTCGATGACTATTCCAGTTCTCATGGCAGAGGGTGTGCTGAGAACTACT